GCAGGACAGAGCCGAACTGCCCCATAGGGTTTCTGAGGCTGTAGTGTTTACGGAAGCAGACTATCACGTCTTCCTCCCACGGAGCAGCTGGTGGGTTCGAACCACCGACCTTTTGGTTACCAGCTGAGCACTTAACCACTGTGCCAAGGATCATTAGGCAGACATTACAGAGTCCATCTCACAGGTCTGATAACTCAGTGTGGCCAGCAAGTTCAGACAACCCCAGAGGCACAGAGTAGGTCAGTGGCTGGGAGACTTAAATGCTGGGAGACTCCCTGGACAGAGCTACTTCTGTATTTCTCATTAGTTTCCTCATCCCCAAGCCCCACTGCTGCGTAGAGCCTGTGACAAGCTCATCTTCCATGTTGTCCCTTTCCTGTTAGGGCAGGGACTTGTGCCTCACCCACGTGTGGACGCCGGAGTGTTCACACGTGTCCTGAGGCCTCTGTGCAGACTTCCTCTCCCCAGACCTGGCCTCAGCTCTGCTGCCTGCCAGGTGAGCTCTGGGGATTGGGCTGGTGTGGAAACCTGCCAGTCCAGTTTGTGGGAACAAAGGTGGCTTTTGTCACCCAGATCACAGCTTCTTATCAGCTGCAGTGGGGGCCTTGGAGAGGGTGATGGGGAAACACAGGTGCACAGCTGGCCAGGGTATGATGCCCCCTGGTGGGAAGCAGGGGAACAGGCCTCTAGAGCCAGGTAAGGAGAAGCTGAGCACCCCACAGGGAACCCGGGGGTTCCACTGTCAAATTTTTCTTAGGGACTGGGGTGGGGGATCCTCAGGAAATCTCCCTGGCTAGTACTTTCCAGGGAGCTCAGTGGTGTAGTGTCTAAGGCAGTTGACTGCTAACCAGAAGGTTGGCGGTTCAAATCTACCAGCCACTCCTTGGAAAAGATAAGGAGATGTATGCTCAGAAAAGTCAACTGATTGGTGAGGCATTCTGGGCAGAGCTAGGACTGTTGTTGTTGTTGTTATGTGCCATCAAGTTGGCCCCGACTCATAGTGACCCCTCCTTGGGTTTCCGAGGCAGTATCACTACGGAAGTAGATTGCCC